GGATTGGATTGGATGGTTATGATTTGATTAATACAACCACCCATCTTAGTGACTTGAACAGGAATTAGGATTCTTGGCTTTAATGCCAAAAATGTATTTACTTTTGGGCGGAGGGGGAGTATGCTTCCTTAAACTATCTTGTGATGTTGATGCTGAATGATCACATGGAGTTTCCATGAGGTACATAAGAGAAAAAGTGTCAAAAGAGAATCCCACTTGCTGTCAACCTGTGGGATATTTCTGTTTATAAAGGGAGGGGGGCCCAGGGGTGGGATTCAGCCTATTCGGTCTGGTTCGGGCGAGCCAGTTGCTCCAACTAGCTGACAGCAAACCAGTTTGCTCCGACCTTCAGTTGGGCCCACCCGCCCTGTGCTATACCTACCTTTATTTTGTTCGTTTGAAGCCCAGCTGATTGGTGTGGCAGACTGGATTGCCACACCTCAACTGTTTTTAGTGTTTTTAACACTGCTTGTAACAGACTTTTCTAATGGACTGCGCATGCGAAATGTGCTCTCAATGAACTGGTTATTACACCGGTTAAATCCCACCACTGGGGGGGTGCGCTTTAGATTCTTGGCCATATTTTTAAATTAGATTAGCCGTGTATTTTGGAAGAATTATAAATACTGTCCTGAGTTCATTCCTAGGAGCATTCATCTCTCCATGGATCCCTTGAGAGCAGAAAATTCAATTTCTTGACAGAATCATTTTACGTTTCTAACACATGCACCTCAAAATGCTGAGGAGTGAATCCAGGACCTTTTAAAATGCCAGATATGTATCCTCCCACTGAATTTTGGGGCTCTTAATAGCTCTGGATGAAGAGTTTCAGACCTAAGGATGCATTGAATGGGCGTATTTCAGGGGCTTAATGATTCATGCAGCAGTTGCTATGGAAAGGGAACTGAGCCTATAAATAAAGCATCCCTCCTAGAATTTGTATTGTCTTTTTTAAAGTGTAGCACCCTCTATGTTGAAGATTGGGTCAAAATGTTTTGGTGTAAAGAGACTTTAGGGAAGCACCCTATGAAACTGTTGGCTTGCCATACCTTGGGTCGTCCCGTAATGAATCAGACAGGCAGTTTAAATACAATTTGGTATGTAGAGAATATTCTTAGAAATTAAGGACTTCCAGGCTCTTTTGTATCTGCTACAGCATGGAGCTAGGAGTAGTGAATTGCTATCTAGGACAGAATAATTTTTTGATGCACTATATCAGACCTCCATAATTTGTGAATGAGTGAACCAGGAACTATGCAATCAAGGGTAAGCAGTAAGCAGCAAGGCACCCTTGATGAATGCTCTAAGTTAGGGGTGTAAGACTCAAGTCCAGCAGGCCAGATCTGCCCACTGGGTGCTTAGATCTGGCCCGCGGGGCTGACCTGAAAACAGCAAAGGACAGGCCCACAGCCCATGGCTGTCCTGAGCTCCATTTTCACTGGCAGAGGGTTGTAGGAGGCCGTCATGCAGGGGTGAAATGCTCTCGGTTCGGACTGGTAGCGATGGAGGCGGGTGGTTCGGCGAACCGGTAGCAAAAATCCCTCCCCCCCCATGCCCAGCTGAGCCGCACAATCATCAGAGGCTTTTTCTTTTAATTTTTAAAAGCATTTTTTCTATAACCTCTTCGGCCGAAAAAATGCTTTTAAAAGTAAAAAAAAGACTCTGATGATCGCGCGGCTCAGCTGGGATCGTCAAAGGGATCGTCAGCTGATGATCCCAGCTGAGTTGCCTGATCAGCAGAGGCTTTTTTTCTTTTAAAAGCCTCTGACGATCCAAGCTGAGTTGTCTGATCGGCAGAGGCTTTTTTTCTTTTAAATGCCTCTGACGATCCAAGCTGAGTTGCCTGATCGTCAGAGGCATTTAAAAGAAAAAAAAGCCTCTGCCGATCAGGCAGCTCAGCTGGGATCGTCAGAGCCTTTTGAACCCATTTTTTTACAACCTCTTCGCCAAAAAGGTTGTAGAAAAAATGGTTTTAAAAGAAAAAAAATTGGCCATGCCCACCCAGTCACATTACCACCCCCCCACAACCAAGCCACAGAACCGGTAGTAACAAATTTTAGATTTCACCACTGCCGTCATGGCTGAAAATGGAGCTTGGGAGCCCATTTTCGCTGGTAAAGCGCTCGGGCCACCACAGGCACCCCTGGCACAAGTGACATCGAGCTGGCCACACCCTCCCTGACCATGACCACCCCCGCCCCCCCCCCAGGTAAAACACAACCCTGATGCATCCTTCAATGAAATCGAGTTTGACACCCCTGCTATATGTTCAAGCCAACAGCAGGATTGCTTATGTTTTTATTTTATTTACTCACAGGTAGTTGTCAACTTATAACCACAATTGACACCCAAATTTATGTTGTTATGTGAGACAATTGTTAAATGAACTTTGCCCCATTTTATGATCTTTCTTGCCACAGTTGTTAAGTGAATCAGCTGATAAATTAGTAATATGGTTGTTAAGTGAATCTGGCTTCCCCATTGACTTTGTCAGAAGGCGGCAAAAAAGGATCACATGATCCTGAGACTCTGCAGCCATCATAAATATGAACTAGTTGCCAGGCATCTGAATTTTGATCACATGACCATGGGGATGCTACTACGGTTGTAAGTGTAAAAAATGGTCATGAGTCACTTTTTTTCAGTGATGTTGTAACTTTGAATGGTCACTAAATGAACTGTTGTAAGTCGACTACCTGTATTTACTTATTTCTGGATCGGGCTTAGTAAAGGAAAACAACTAGCGCAGAGATGAAATGCTTTGTCCTGGGGCTGCTGCATTGCCTCAATTTTTTATTCCTCAAACAGAGAATGGCTAAAATCAGATTTACCCAATTTCACAAAATGTTGGAGTTTCCAAACAAGGCAGTGAGATCCAGGGTGATGTACTGTAATAATTAAGGTGTTAGACTAGACTTCAGGAGACACAGGTCCAAGCCCATCTTCATCCATAGAAACTTACTGGCTGACTTCGGGCCAAATGCTCTCTTAGCCTAAATCCACTACACAGGGTAATTGTGGGGATAAAACAAAGAGAGATGCTAAGGTGTCTTGTGCTCCTGGAAGAAAAATAGCAGGGGTGAAATCCAGCAGGTTCTGACAGGTTCTGGAGAACCGGTAGCGGAAATTTTGAGCAGTTCAGAGAACCGGCAAATACTACCTCTGGCTGGCCTCAGAGTGGGGTGGGAATGGAGATTTTGCAATATCCTTGTCATATGTAAATGACTAACCCTGTGATTGATTGATATATATATCAAAAGAATGTAAATATTAATTCCCTTTTCCAATAACCACCCCCTCATAACTCCTCCTTACCTTGACTCCGCCTCCTTAGTATATAAGCCCCATCCCGCTCCTTCATCTCTCTCTCTCTCCTGTCATGATACCTGTTAAGAAGAAAAAAAGAAACAATAAATATATTTAATAGAAAAGGAATGACTTCTATGAGTTACTGGGCTTGATCCTTGAACCTACATAACAATCCTTCCTTCAGGAGCGGGGTGGGAATGGAGATTTTGTAGTATCCTTCTCCTGCAGTGGGATGGGAAGGGAGATTTTGCAGTATCCTTCCCCTACCACACCCACCAAGCCATGCCCACCAAGCCACGCCCACAGAACCTGGATTTCACCACTGAAAAATAGGCTAAAAATCTAACAATCGATTCACCAACCAACAAAAAGCCATGCTACCTCATACATTTATTTTCATTGGGGTAACAGGCCCCTGAAAAGCTTGATGATCCAGCATTGCAGAATAAAAACTGAACGTCAGCTTGGAGTTAAATGCAAAAAAAAAAAGTAAAAACTGAATGACGGGTAGCAAACGATGGGCATTGCAGGCTGCAGATGTAATCCCAAACATTTCCAATCCAAAATATTCTTTGCCTGAGTCCCTAGAGTGCCATTGCAGACTGTAATAGGGGATGCTAGCAAAAAGCCTGACTTACTTGCCGATTGTTCTGTATGCATAATGTGCAAACAAGGAATGGGAAATATGTGGCCTTCTAATGTATTTTTTATATTGCATTTTTATGCTAATCTGGATGCTGCCTAGACTCTTTGTATTCATTGATTTATAATTGTAAATAGGGTTGATTTGGGTCATGGGATGGGTGGCATATATATTTAATAAATACAGATAGTCCTTGACTTACTACAGTTCAATTAGTGACTGTTCGAAGTTACTATGGGACTGAAAAAAAGTGACTTTTTTAGGACCATTTTTCACACTTAATGACCGTTGCCACATTCCCGTGGTCATGTGATTTACATTCAGATGCTTGACAAGGGGTTCATATTTATGATGTTTGCAATGTCCCTGGGTCACGTGACCCCTTTTGTGACCTTCTGACACGCGACGTCAATGGGAAAGCCAGATTCACTTAACAACGGCATTGCTAATTTAATAACAGCACTGATTCACTTCCCAAATGTGGCCAGAAAAGTCGTAAAACGGAGCTAAAATCACTTTCAAATTTCTCACTTAACAACATACATGTTGGGCTCAATTGTGGTTGTAAGTCGAGGACTACCTGTACAAAGAAATCAATAAATTAATTTTGTTGGACAGCTAGTCTCATTATCCCTTACCATTGTCCATGTTGTCTAGATCTGCCTGAAACTGGAGGCAATTTCAGCAACATATAAATTCTAAAGACACATTATTTATCCCTTTTGAAGTTCATAAGCTGATGACGGTGCTACAACCGTTTTCTCTTCTTGTTTGCACATCTGGAAGCTTCAGTTTTATCAACCCGGCTGTACAGGGTAATTCAAATTCAGGATCTTCCTGTATTCCACTTACTTACATTCCTATAAAGAGGAATGGTATCCTGCTTTGTGGATATCATGCGGGGTGAGAAGCCATTTAGGCAAGATTGTAAGCACTTCCTTAACAAAATAGCTTACCGGTAATTCTTTGGAAGATTTGTTTGTGTGGGTGAATTTAGCATGCTGCTATTCATTTTTTTCCTCCCTTTTCTTTCCCTCCCCTCCTGCAGATGCCTGCAATGCCATTCCACTGAGGAAGAAAATGATCACATTTACAACCAAAGAAGCACTAGCTGGAAAATGGATTGAAAGGCAGTAAAAAAAGTCAATGTGCAAGGTCCTGGGGAAATTTCATTCCATAATTGATCAGGAAAAAAGCCTTTTCCGCTGCTGTGTTTTGAATGAGTTTCCAAACTAAATCTTTGACTGGGAAGCCATAAGTAGATTTGCAAATGGCTGTTGTCTCTTGTGTCCCTCACTAATGGAATAGGAGGCACTTTGTGTGTTGATTTTCAACCTATTTAAAACATTTAAATGTTGAACTTGTGATGGGATATCACCACCACATCAAAATACATGTGTAATTCCTTCAGGAAGAGAAGAGCACTGTTACGAGTTAGCTGTTAAAAAAACCTCTTCTTCTGTTTTTTTAGCTAACACCTTGAGGCCAATTTTGAATTATAATAAATTGACTTTATTAATAACTTACTGACATACATCTGAACAAGATTCATGGTGATTTCCTTTCTCTAATAACTATTGGGAATTATGCTTCCAAATAAATGGTTTAACATATCATCTCCAAAATACAATTGCCAAAAAGAAACCATAACCAAGTGATATTCTTTTATTGTAGATCAGTCTCAATTGTGTCTTTCCAATGAAACATTAGCAAAGGAACCAATTTTACAGACGTTAGAATGGAAGCCCAAAATATGGAACATTCAGCAAAAGGAATTCAGATGGACACTGAGCAACAATTGGAAACTTCAAATACAACTGATCCAATTATCGCTCCTGACAGTCCAGACAAAAAGGCTTCTATCTTTTGCTTTAAGAAAAGGAAAAAGTATTGTGAGAAGGGAGAAGAGAAGGATGAGAACCATGAATCCAATTCACTTAGCTTAAGGCCTGCTAACCAGTCTTCTGACATGGGGCACAATGAAACAGAGGTTTCAAATCCATTTTGGACTTCAGGAGGGGCTTGGCTGGCTTTCAAACGACTAGTGACATTAAGAAGAAGATCCAAATCCTCTCTGAAGAAACAAACACAGGCTTGTTCTCGCGTACATCTAGATGTGGACATAGGAGATTCTGGCAGGACACGATTTCCTAAGGACCATGCGAGTTCTGGTTCTAAAATTCCCTGCCTAAAACTCTCCCGAAACAAAAAAAGGGCCAGCCACTCTGAAATAATAGAACAGCCTGACTGCGAGAAAAAAGGAAATGATACAGCAAGCATCCTGAACAACAAAAGTAATGAAGAGCCAGAGATGGTGGCTATGGAAGTTCCACTTGATACAAAACTATCTCCCAGCAGAGGTCTTCAGGAAGAAGAAAGTGACAGTGGAGCCATGACAAATACGGAAAATGCGTCACTCTCCAATAGAGAGAACGCATTTCCTGATCCCAATTGTTATATTGACTGTGGAGTTCCATCAGAAATAATCCATTCTGAAACAGCACTTGTAACTGAAGAAGAGAAGCAAATATTTCAGTTACATCATGGAACCCTCTATGGAAACTTTGAAGAGCTGGAAAATCAGAAGTTCAGTTTTAATGTTGAGATCAGTCCTCCCATTCCTCAGGACCTGCCTGAAAGTGAACAACAACTTATAGGAAGAGAGGGAACCAAAGAGACCAAGTCACAGCCATTTGGGGCAGGCATTGATGTTGTGGCCAAAAGTGAGGATGCTGCTGCGAAGGAAGGTCATTCCATTGAAGTGATGTTGCATTGCAGCCCATCCGTAATGGAAGACGAGGCTTCAGACATACCGGTTTGTTTTGATGAGGAAGAGAAAAATGAAGTAAACCAGTTTACCATTCCTGGGGCCGGCATTGTAATCATGATCACTGAAGCTGAAGATGATCAGGATGAGGAAGAAGAATCAGCCCCTACCTGTGAAATGTTTGCATTTCCCCAAGCCATCAAGCAAAAAGGGAAGAAAAAAACTAGCAAAAACAAAGCTTCTACTGCAGGGTGCAACTACGCAAAGGAAGACCAGGCATGCTCCCAGGTCCCATCTTCCTTTGGCACCAACAGCCAGGAACACTGGACTTCAGAGCAATATGAAATGCTGTTGATTGAAACAGCTGCCTCGCTTGTGAAGACAGCCATTCAGTCATCTGTTGAGCAGCTTGTCAATGAAATGGCTTTGGAGCAAAATAAACAAAACAGTGTTTTATGATCACAGGAGCCTCTTTGTAAATTAGAGGCGGGCCTGCTACTGTATCAGGCAAATGGAAGCATTTGAACAAATTGGCTTGTGCTAGGAAACAAAGTACCATTTGGATTTTCTTTGCCCATTGCCAGCACTGCTTGATCCATCCTTAATGACCAGTTCAGTATTAATGCTGCGAGGAAATGTGCCAGATGTTCTGAAGTATTTAAACTTAGCATGAGAGATTAGGGAGGGTCTTAATTCCTTGAGATATTTGCAATATCTGTGATTAACTTAATTTTGCATGTTGGTATAATGGATGTATATTGTATAAACAGCTTGTAAAAACAAGGTGGGGAGGGTCTTTTGCTGCATGGTGACATGTCTTAATGGTTTACTCTCTATAGTAGATCTAGGAAAGACGCCCATTCTCTCCCTTTCCTTTCTTCTCAATTTATTTATTTCATTTGCAAATACCAAGTTATTCAAGTATTATTGTCAATGATTGAGCAGGTTTTTTTTTTAACCCACTGCCTTTCGGATAAGTTTGGCCTTTCTTAATTTTTAGCTGAAATTACAGGAACTGGTGTTCCACATCTGGAGGTGAGTAAGTTGGAGAAATCTGGCTCAGGGTAGGAGAAACTCAATTTATTAAACAAATGGATCTAAATCAGGGGTCCCCAAACTTGGCAGCTTTAAGACTTGTGGACTTCAACTCCCAGAATTCTCCAGCCAGCATAGCTGGTTGGAATTCTGGGAGTTGGTTGGAATTCAGGGAGTTGAAGTCCACAAGTCTTAAAGCTGCCAAGTTTGAAGACCTCTGCTCTAAATCAAGCTGTTAATGGTTCCCCAAAAAGAGCTGAGGAAAGAAAAAGGAATTGGTGACACCCCCATCCAAAACAGAAATTAGATTGAGCAACAGTACCCAAAAAGCATATTTTTTCACATAGTAGATGACTTCAATGTTTCTGAAGTCCTACCGATCACTTTATCAAAGAATCTCAGCCCCATCAAGAGAGAAGCAAACATTTCTTCAGAGAAATTGACAATTGACTATTCAGAGACATTGGTTATGGTAAGTTTTAAAGACATAAAAGATACTACTGCCCACAATGATTTTATTAGTATAATTTTACAATAATGACAAAAAGTTTAATTGTTGCCACTAAAAGTGTTTTCCACTGACCACAAATTCTGAAACACTTTTAATTCAAATAATAAGAGCTCATTGGGGCTGAAACAGTGGGTTTATATTGCAGTGTGAATTACCTTTCCCCGAAATTCAATCTAAATAAGACAGAAGGAGAGAGGGAGAGGGTGGGGCAGAAGAGAGAACAAGCCTAAATCTTTCAGAGGCCGCTCTAATTCCAGACCCTGGGGAACATTCTGTTGAGTTCTTCAATTCCCTTTGCTTCAGGACAGTCAACTGAGAGCTGGCTGCTCTGGCCTCCTTTACTCTGTCTCTCACGAGATCCTTCCCAAATTGGGTCAGTGAGTCTCTTCCCATCTACCCATGTTGGAGAAACTCAGGACTACAAAAGCCTTAAAATAGTTCTTGCCCTAGTTCCATGTAAGGATGGAAGATGGATAGAGTGATGGAAGAAGGCAAGTGATTTGTTCAGAGCTCTAGTAAAGGACTGCTTTCCCCGCTTAAGGTTGTACACATTTTGAAATAATTTGAAAGTCTTTGAGATCTTATAAAAGCACCACATCTCTGTGATCCAGTAAAGCAGCCCGTTTTTTTGATCTTCTTCACCAACTTGAAGAAGGAAACAATCCTTTAGTTAATGGAATGAATATTACAATTCTTTAAGCAGATACATTTTTTTCAGACTTGCATGACAGCCTTAAGAGACATACATGCCTTTTTGACTAGTAAAGATTGGTATCCTTGCATGAGGTCTGAAGTATTTCTCTGAATGGTAAAGAATGAAGAGCAAAGAAGTTAAGTGAATAAAAGGGTAGTAGAGAAAGAAGAAGGGATTCTGGTGCTTTTTTTGGTTCTAATCTTCATTTTTCTTCCATTTACAACTGAGGCACTTCAACCTCTCTGAAACAAGCTGAGAATTTATAAAGAAAACATCAAGGAACCATTTTAGCAAAAATCCACTCTAGTTTACTAAATTCAAGGGTTTTGTATCCTCTGGTGTGCATTGGGAGATATTTGGAGTATACTGAATTAAATAGGTTGTTTTCAGAAACTTAATTCCCACTTTATCATGCAAAGAAAACTCAGTGCAGCCAAATTCCATGAATATAAATTAAGAAATATCAGGCCATGTTTATAAATTGCAATGAATGAAAAAACAGAGAAGTATGAAAGTTGTCAACAATAAAATATGGTAAAAGCAAAAGCAAAGCAAAACTCCAAAACTTTCTAAGCAAAATTACAGAAGTAGGGAAGGCCACTAGATGTTGATCCTCCAAATTCTCCAAATCATCCAAGAAATTCTATCTATGTGGTTATTAAGAATTGACACTGACTTGACAGCATTTAATCAATCAATAAAAGCTTTTTAGAACAGTCAGTTAATTCTTTATCAGGTACTGGAAGACTTTCAAGGAAGGAACTTGGTGACATTCCATGACAGATATTTCATAGGATTTCCATCATTTCCACATCAACATACTTTGTAAAAGTACCTGTTTGCAATTGTTTTTTTAATACAAGTCTTAAAAATAAAAAGTATCTAGATCATCCTGAGTTGGCTATACATGAAACTTGCTTTCTGTACATGTCACTGTTGTATCAATTACCCAAGGACCCAAATAAATTGGATGAAGGCATCTCATGTTATCATCAGGAAGAGAAGGTACAGTCACTTTTGAAATCTTTGAAGAATTAGGTGTGTCTGAAGCTGGATGAGACAGCCAGTTTGGTGTACAGTTATGGCATCAGGATAGACACTGGGAGATGAGCTCTAGTCTCACCTTAGGTACAAAGCCAGCTGGATGACATTGGGCCAAGCACTCAGTCTCAACCCTAGGAAGTAGGCAATGGCAAACCATCTCTAAAATGTTTCCAAGAAAACTACTGGAACTAGTCCATGCTGTTGCCAAGAATCAATACTGACTTAAAGGCACATGTGCACACACCCAAATCCATACATGAGCCATATGAGACAAATAACTGGCTTTCAAGGGAAGATTACTGTGGCTTGTAACCTATTCTGTACTCCCCTGGCCCTATTCCACTAAGGAAAAACAGAGGAATGCTTGAGAAGAAATGCTGGGTTCAGAAATTACAAAATCCATAGTAACAGACTGGCTGTACGTCCACATCAGTGGTGGGTTGCCCCCGGTTTGGACCGGTTCGCAAAAACCGGTAGTAAAACTGGCGGGAGGCTCCACCCACTAACCCAGATGTCATCAAAGTTGATCTGCGCATGCACAGAAGAGTGCGAGGGCACGATGCGAACCGGTAGTAAAGGTAAGTAGAACCCACCCCTGGTCCACATGAAATATTTGTGTCTTGTGTATAGCCACATGAGGCACAGCTCATCGGTGTATAGGACTATTATATTGCGGCCGCTAGACGACCATGCCAGTTTTGAGAGGGCGGCTACAGAAATTGACTTAATAAATCAAAGAAATACAGGAAACTATTAATTCTTTACTGCCATCAATTAATGATTGGATGATTACAGCACAAATATGGCAGTTCTACTGTACATGAAGCTGGGAAAGGCTGTGCAGCTATTTCTATCCTGACCCTAAAGTTGTTTGTGAGAGCGTGACAGCAATATGCACCATAAATGCAAGGTTGTGCATTTTGTTTCCTATTAAAGTAACTGTTGGAAAATTCCTGTGGGTAATTTCCAGCTTGGTTTGCACTCCACACACTTACTGTAAATTCCTGTCTCTAGATTGCAATGAACACATGCACTTCTCAGTGCATCTAGCAAAAATATGGTTTGATGTTGTTTATTAAGATCAAAGCAGGGATCAAAATCAGCTAATTGGCAAAATTGGAGCAAAAGGCAAATAAAAATAAGGAGGGAGAGAGAGATGAACAACAAAAATAGTTTACATGATGAATCCATCTATGCATATCAAAAGGTCTCAGAATTTTCTAGAGCCATTGGAAACAATCCCTGTGCATAATTAGCATGGGCAGCCCAAAAGGGAATAGCTTGCTTTGATCCATCTGTATATAATGGCAGTGGAATTGAGATGGGAAGTGTTTTATTTATTTAGCTTATTTATACAGTATGTTGGTAGAATTATACTAAGAAAATACCTCAGTGTCCTTTACCACTTTGGTATCGAGATATGGGTTGGTTCCTTTATTCTAAGGAGATTATCTGCAGAGATAATCTGCAATGACACACAAGGACATATGAAGTAACATTCCCAGTGAAAGGCCCTGAAAGGTCATACAAGCAAGCATAGATAGTTAATCTCCCACATTTGGAAAGACGTTTCAAGAGATGCAATCACTTTGGATAATCCACATTTATTTTTTGTCATGTTTCATTTAACCATTTCTAAGTAAATGAAAAATCCTCCCAAAGTCTATCTTTGGACATAGATTTACTGGTAGCATTTCCTTAGCAACCTATCAGAGGTAGTCTTCACTTTACGACTCGCCATTTAACAAATGTTCGAAGTTATGAAGGACTTGAAAAGTTACTTATGATCTATCCAAGAAGTTACAACTGCCGCACCACCCTGTGGTCACATGATCATCTTTTTGGGCATTTGGCAACTGGTTCGCATTTACAATCTGTTGCAGCATCTTGAAGCCTAATGATTATGTTTAGCCATGTTTTTTGCCACTTTCTGGCAATAAATAGCCATTGGATAAGATGGATTTGGACTTACAACCGTGTGATTCACTTAATGACTGGTGACTTGCTTAATGAGCATTGTAAAAATGGTTGTAAAATTGAGTCTGGTCACATGGTAACTTGCCTTATAACTGTAATGACTTACAACCAAAATTCCAGGCTCAATTGTGGCCAATGACTACTTGCATTGGGTTTGTCTCATTATCCAGAGCAGCTGTTTCTCAGCACAGTGTGCAGTTCCATCACATCCAAATTGTACCACTGTTCACACATAAATATTGCCACTATTTGCTTATCTATTCCATGCTGCTTCAGCTAACTTTACAACCTAACAGTGAAGTCTGCTTTAGTCTTTATTTGGAGTAAATTGCTCTTAAAATCCCCAAACTCCTCTGGATTCCTTCATCTCTTACCCTGTCATTTAGTAATGTAATAGTGAAGCATTGTATAAAACCACAGATCAAAATCCCACTACTGGTTCACACAAAAATTAAGTGAAGTTGAACAAAGCAGCTGCTTTTTATGTTGTACTGGGTCTGAGTCTAAAACAGTGAAGCAGCTGAATGCCGCTAGCTAGCAGGAGGAGGACAATTTAAGCAATGTTCAGCAGTGCTCAGAGCACATTAAAAGATTCCTGATACTAGCAGTCTTTTTTTTTTAAAAAAAAAAACCCAATTAATGAATTTTTAAGTTTTTTTCCAATCAGCCAATGGCTGCAAGATATATTTATCTTCATTTATCTATGCAACAGCCACATTATTGGTGTTTTAGTAATTAATGGTCACCGATCTGTGATACTTTTTCAATCGCCTCAGCAAAAGTAGAAGCTTACCAGAGCAGAAAGGATAAATTACAGAAGCATAGTTTTGCCCAGCTAGGGGTGAAGTACACATTTCATAAACTATATAATTTGGCTTTTGTATGAACTTACTATAAATAAGCTACTAGGATGGAAAACAATCAGGGGCATGGTTGTAGCATAAAGAGAAGGGGAGAGGGGGTGTAGTCATTTCTTTCCAACTTCAATACATTGGAGCTCTTCCCTCTACTTCATTCGATTAAAATGAAGTAACCAATCCTGCCTCCCACCCACTCTCCCACCCCTGCTGCAATTTGCAAACCAAAAATAGGAATAAATGGAGGAATAAAATGCATTTAATATATGGTGTCATTTGAGTCAAGGGGGAAGCTCATCAACCCTATGGTGAAGGCCAACATTATTCCAGTTTTTCACAGTTGTAGTTCACTAGCTAGCACAGTGAGATTGCCAATTCCATGGTTTGGGTTTAAATTATTCCCATACAGTTTGCCCTTGGAACATGTTTTTGGGGGTCTCCCAGGGGTGAAATGCTCCCCTTCGGACCAGATCACCCGATCCAGTAGCGATGGAGGCGGGTGGTTCGGAGAACCGGTAGCCAAAATCCCTGCCCCCCCACCAGCTGAGCCGCACAATCATCAGAGGCTTTTTTTTTACTTTTAAAAGCATTTTTTTCTACAACCTCTTTGGCTGAAAAAATGCTTTTAAAAGTTTAAAAAAAAAAAGCCTCTGATGATTGCGCAGCTCAGCTGGGATCCTCAAAGGCTTTTAAAAGCATTTTTTCTACAACTTCTTCAGAGGTTGTAGAAAAAATGCTTTTAAAAGCCTCTGATGATCCCAGCTGAGTTGCCTGATTGTCAGAGGCATTTAAAAGAAAAAAAGCCTCTGCTGATCAGGCAACTCAGCTGGTATTGTCAAAGCCTTTTGAAAGCATTTTTTTACAACCTCTTCATCGAAGATGTAGAAAAAATGGTTTTAAAAGTTTTTTAAAAATGGCCACGCCCATCCAGTCACATTACCCACCACCAGCAAGCCACGCCCACAGAACCCATAGTAACAAATTTTAGATTTCACTGGGTCTCCCCAGTGATACACTGGCATGTTCTTTGTTTCTGGACCTGAAGCTGAATCCATCCTTGTTACAGGTTAGAAGCAAATTAAAAACCATATCCAGTCTTGTACTCTGCTGATTTTAAGCTGCTCAATTTTAATGGGTTTTAAAATGTTACTGATTGTTAAATGTAATGAATTGCCTACAGCTGCAATATAGGAGTAAATGGGATATAGATTTTAAAATATTGAAATTGGGAAATGTAAATTAGGTTTATTTAACCTTCACCCACTGATATTCTTGTTTTGCAATCTGTAAGAAATGGTTCAATGTTGTTTTAGGATGCACTGGAGAAATCTAAGCAGCCTACCACCTGGCTGTTAAAACTCCCTCTGTTCCATTTCCTTTCTGATGTAAATGAGGCCATAGCTATTATTTTAATTTAGAAAACATGATCCTCTTGTGAGGGCTCATTGTTTTCCAAAGATTAGACACATCATATCATAGAAGATAATTGCACGCAAGACTTTATTGTAGCAACACCTTTCCTGTTGCCCTGGATTAAGTTCCTTCTCTTAGGCTTTTCAAGTTGATAAAGCCATGTAAATAATTTTTTGATGATTAATTCTTATAACAAGTACCATGTTTTCCTGAAAATAAGACCCTGTCTTATATTTTTTTGAACCCCGAAATAAGCGCTTGGCCTTATTTTCAGGGAGGTCAAATTATTTTGGGGCACGTGGAGGAAACCAGAGGAAATGGTGGGGACCGACTGCACATGTGTTTAAATATTTTGGGGAGGGCTTATTTTCAGGGGGGGCTTATTGTAATGCATGCTCTCAAAAGCCCGATTGGGCTTATTATCAGGGAATGTCTTATTTTCGGGGAAACAGGATAAAAGTCTTAAAGTTTGTAAAGTGACATTCAATCTTTGTCTCCCTCCAATGTTGTATTTATTCATCATATTTATATAGCCATTCATCTTACAAGATATGACTGTGGGCAGTGTACAATAAAAAACATCTACTACTAAAAACATC